TTCTCTGCAATTTCTCCGTGTTTTTCTATGGAATAATCTATACACTTAGGTGATAATACAGAAGAATTCTCTTTTGCTGCCACATAATATCATATCAGACATTAAACAAGTTAGAAATGGCACATTAGACATGATCTGTAATATTCACGGTTACATTTTTTATGCATTGTTGCATTATTTTTGTAGCTAGAGCAAAGATCTTCCACCATGAGTTTCACATTTACTTCCCCCTCATTCAAAAACACGTTTCACGCGTGAGACGCACGAAACCAGATACAGTCATACAAACTATTCCTCTTGACATCAGGCGATTTCAAACTCTTCACATTAGACTACATTTCCCAATGCCGAGGCAGCCACGTGCGCGGGGATCTTTTAAATTCGCACCGAAATGTGTTCTGGAGAAACTGTGTCACTGGGCCACGAGGCTCATGGGGTCACATGGACACATTTCGAGCCTCGTGCAACTGTGCGCCTGCGCTCATCTCATCCATGCTCTTTGGAACGAGGCAAAAAGCAAAACCGGGTCGATTTGACAGAACAGTTCAGAGCGACACAGATAGAGCGAGTAACAGGCGCACTGGCGTATGATACCCTTTTACTGAATGAACCACATTTGCCTGACGTCTTTGCGCAGAGTTTCACATCTTTTCTCAGCATCTAGCAGATGCGCTCGTATTTTATGCGGTTTTAGTACGGTCATTACGTGGCAGTTATGACTTTATCGTAAAGAAGAACCGATCTGTAAGAAAAACTGAAGTGCATCTCTCGGGGTGTCGCATTGGAGATTCTGTCATAAACCTGCATGACTTTACTGGGGCTCAACATGACGACAGCAGTAGATACAAACAACACAGGTGAGTCTTTCTAAATGCTTTTAGAAAAAGTCTCGTTGATTATTCTGTTATTATTATTTTTCAGTCGCCTCTCTGCTTCTTCACTGTCAAATGACATGCTAGTAAGTTTGTATTACGCACTTCTGAATGTTGCGCAACGGGTCTACACTGTACATTTATAAGCATAGCTTGGTGCAGTAGAACGGCACAGATATATAATAATTTTCCTTTACATGATAGTAAATCGATCTAGCGGTGTACCGCGTCATTTTGTAATAACTAAATGACGCATGGCTCTGAAATAATCGCGAAGGTATGTTTAAATACGTACATAATAGCTTTTAGCGTGTGTAAATACTTAATTATGCCTTCATAAAACGTAATACTTCATATGTGTGAAATGAAAACGGCTGTTCCAAGTATGCATACTTTTATATGTTTCTGTCGTATTTGGCGTGATGAAAGTTCTGGATATAGCCTACATAGAATGTAAATACCCAACTATGGCAGGGACATCACAGTGTTCTCGTGAATTTCGGGGAACTAGGTCATAACTGAAAAGTCAGGTGTACGGACATCCCTGTGATGCAGGCGAGCGTCGAAGATACTCTCTCGATTCACATGGACCGCCGTTCCTAGCCATGTGCTTTTTGTTTTCATTCTCCGCTCTCCGCCTACAGCCATTGGTTAGCGCAGGCGCTCATTACATAATTCCGCCTCGCGCTGTGTTTGCCCGTGTGTGACGCGGCAGTCAGCCATGTGCGCGCTGCGATTGGGCCGAATAGCGATGCGCGGGGCTGGACATCACGTTAACCCGTGTTCACTGCAAAAGTGGGACAATAAATTGATCCACTTTAACGTAACAGTTTTTTTCTCTCCCTCTGACATGAATACAGCGTCACAAAATATCCCCGCCTCTGCCTTTTATAGATGCTTGGACTTAACACATTTATAATGAGCGGATTGTGGTGGCTAACTTTAGTTAATAATACAACTAAGAGAGGAAAATGTGTATTAGAATTGGTTAATTAGCCTATGGATTTGTTTGTCCTTATCGAATGTTTTCGACGCAATTCCAATTGGATGAATCGCGTTCGAAACCGTTTAATGAAATGACAGCTACGTTTATCTGATTACGCGGCTGGAATGCTCGATAGTGAATTGTCAGTCGTTTATTCAGGTCACATATTTTATATATGTATATATTCAACGTTCTGTTGCTTGGCAACCGTTAACAGCATAGTTAATTATATAACGTAGCGGGAAAATGTTTACCAGGATTTTTTAATGCTTACTATTTATTGAGCGCTGTAGTTTTTAGTTTTAATCACGAATGAGAGGTTTTCCGGTTCGCGTCGTCTTCTGACAACACCCTTATTGTGAATATAAATTCACCGCAACGCCCAGACTTGAGTGTTATGAAATGTAATATGGGTTCAAATGTAATGAACCCAACGTAAACACTGACTGCGTTTATTAATGTAGAGTGTAAAAGGCTTGCTCATTGCGTGTAGGCGTAAATGAATGCTGAAGCTTTTTTAAAAAGCGGGTGTGTTTTGAGAGGCGTGCCTAATGAAAGTCTCGTTGAGAGGCTGTTCTTGTGTGGCGCACGTGGAGGGGAGGCGTGCTTCCCCAATGATGCGCTTCAACAGCTCACACAGTTCCTTTGACAGAATGATTAGGAAAGTCCAAGTGTTTGGACTGAAACACAATCAGGAGCCAGAAAAAGCATGTTTTTGAGCATAAGCAGGGAGAAGATCTGAAACCACGGTTGCCATGTAACTATACCAGAAATATCCACAGTGCACTCAAAATTGCAGGCTAGTGGACATGCATTGATAAATCTAATGCGAGACCAGTTTTTCTGGAGCACCACAGGGGAGTCAAAGCTACAGCACGTTTCCCTGTCTTGGCTCCACCTGACACAGTGACTTTTTGACCTTTTGTGCTAGTGTACAGTTATGTAACATCTACACCAGTTTGCCTTTGACATTCAAAGTGCTGTAAAGATTATACTTGCAAACACTTCTCAATATAATTCTTAAAATTGACCTCTCAACTGTATTTACTGTATAAACTTTGGTCTCTCATATGATAATACCAGTTTTTAGCAATATCTATCTTTCTATCTATCTATTGCGGCATCATTCAAGAGAACAACATAAGCACAAATCTCACCAAAACATGGTTTTCCGTCATGTGCATTGATGAGGTGTGCAGGAGGGAACTGTAAAACGAGAGCAAAGGACTGTGTTTGATTTCAGGGGACCAGAGGTTAGGAAAGGCAGAAGGAAGTACCAGACACTAGGGAATAGTATACATGCTAGAGTCAATGCCAAGATTGAAACTTTAGAACACTGCGCTGTTCCTCAAGAGCAAAGTCCTCAAGACTAGTCTTATCTGATTTGAGCTGATGGACGCTAATGAGCAGGATCTAACTCAAACAAAACAGAGTTGTAAATATCATACATAAATGCACGTGGTTAGGCATGTGCTACTGACACATCATGCAAGGTTGTGTGTTTTATAAACGGAAATAATAGACACATGTGGCTTGCTCACATGGCACACTGGTGCCACTGAAACTATAAACCACTAAAAACGCCCTCTGAGGCACAAACTCAGGAAGAAAGGAGTGGTCGCTGTAATTTTTTTTAAATGTCCCCATGCAGTTTACAATAACAGTTCCTAGAAAGTATCCCTGTTTTCCACAAAAACAGATTCTCTAGCTCCCTCAGCTTCCTTGTTTCCATAGCGCCATCTGTTTTGGTGCAACTGCTTGTATAGCGGAGAGAAGTATTTATGGGAACATTTTAATGAGGATGTGCCCGCAACATCATTTTAGGGAGGAGAAAAAATACCTGAGAACATTTTCAACTCCCTCTTTGTGTGTTCCCACATTGCAGCAATGAGGACTATCTAGTAAATGTGGCTTTCTTTTCTGTCACTAGGTGGGGTAATATCGTACATCGGCTCGTGTGGAGTCTCTCCCAACCGCACCAGCCCTGTGTTCATGTACAGTGAGAATTCCAACAGCAGCCTACAGTCCCTTACACAACCCTGCTTTGGCTCTTCGTTCCCACCATCCCCCAATGGATCCCATGATTTCTCACGTATGTACACCAGCAGCAGTAGCAACAGCAGCAGCAGCTCGAGTTCAGGATCAGGAGAGGACGGAAACTCATCATGCTCTGGTGGATCCCCAAGAGGCCGCGAAGATGGTGGAAGTGCACGCAATTCACCCAACAAATCAGTTGCCACCCTTACTAGTAAGCAATAAAAACCATATTTTACCTGAATAATGTATAGTATGGTATCCAGGAGAAAGATTATAACATCTGGCTTTCCACCCAGAGCTGAATGGAATGGTGTTGCTGTGCAAAGTGTGTGGCGACGTGGCATCCGGTTTTCACTATGGTGTCCATGCCTGTGAGGGATGCAAGGTAAGACAACAGCATTGATTTACATACACATGCACCATTAAAATAGTGTTGATTGCATTTTTTTTTTTTTTATATTTTGAAAAGTTTACTAATTGGAAATATTTAATTTTTTTTATAAAGAAGCATTAATTGGAAAAAAAAAAGAAACGAAATAACATTTACGTTATCTGCTTTGTCTGTAGGGTTTCTTTCGACGCAGCATCCAGCAGAATATCCAGTACAAAAAGTGCCTGAAGAATGAAACCTGTACCATTATGAGGATCAACCGGAACCGGTGCCAGCAGTGCCGTTTCAAAAAGTGTCTGTCTGTGGGAATGTCCCGTGACGGTAAATATCTATACAGCCAAACTTAGAGAAATACAGAGAAACAGTTACAGAAAAATGTAGGGATGCGCCAATATTAGAATTCTGAATGCTACAGATAAGCCGATATCTTTCAAAAATGTTATAACCAATAAATACAAATATTAAAATTAATACAATTTATTTACTTTATTTATACTATTTAAAAACTAACACATGATTGTACAGTATAACAATTTATATTAACTCTTGATATTTGCTAAATATTACAATTAAAAGTAATATTACTAATATTAGTATTAATATTAAGCAATATTAAAAGTAAAATATGTTTTTAAATTATTAGTGTTTGTTTGTAAGATTAACTTTGAAGCAAAAGATTATGGCTAAAGTAATGTAAAAATGGGATAAAATGAGCACACACACACAACTACATATCCAATATCAGCTGATACCAATAGATTAAAAATAAAAATAAAATATCACCCGGTATCTGATATGGAACCATTATATCCTACATCCCTTGAAACTTTTCTAAACAGAGCATTGACATACAACATAAATATGACGAATCTGTGACATTTTCTGTCCTTTCTTAACCCCTAGCTGTTCGTTTCGGCCGTATTCCAAAACGCGAGAAACAGCGTATGCTGGCCGAGATGCAGAACGCCATGAACAACATGGTGAACAACCAGCTTCAGAATGAATTCCAGCTGGCGAGCATCACATCCAACACCCCCTGCTCTTCCTCTTCCTCATCTCCGTGCCCGGGGCTTACAGTGGGACCGCAAGCCCAGCCCCCCGCAGTGCCCGTAGCACCGTCCCCTTCCCCTCCGACCCCAACCTCCCCATCGGTGCAGCCGGCTCAGAGTCCCCCATCTCTGACTTCTTCTCCACCACCGTGCTCCAGTCCAGGTGTAGACAAAACCATTGCTGCCATAACCAGAGCACACCGTGAGACCTTCGTCTACGCCCATGATAAGTTAGGTCCAGCACTGGTGCCCCAAAACGATGAGCTGGACAACCAAAGCAGCAATCGCTGCATGGCTGGATACCACCTCAATGGCCACAACACCATCTACCACCATGATAATAATGTCGCTCATCACTGTAACAACTTCGAGGTGCCACCAGACAGTGGCCTCCATTTTCAAGCCTCCCAAGCACCTGGGCAACATCAGCAGCACAATAACAACAGCCAGCGACCTCCAAACAGTAACCTCTTTAGCGTCCACCACAGTCAGGAGATGAACAGCAGCTCCCAGGGGCAGAACTGTCCATGGAAAAAACGCAAGGAGATTCTGCTGGTAAGACCTTTGATATTTAAATCAGTGACTCTAAAGGTGATTACCAAGTAAATAAGACTTGGAAGTGACGACGATTTCTTTTTTCCAGGCTTGCCCAATGAACATGCATCCTTACTCAGACCCCAACAAAACGCCACAGGAAATCTGGGAAGACTTCTCTCTCAGCTTCACCCCAGCGGTGCGAGAGGTGGTGGAGTTCGCCAAACACATCCCAGGGTTTAGCACGCTACCCCAGAACGACCAGGTCACTTTGCTGAAGGCCGGAACGTTTGAGGTAAGTTGATGGTGTTTTATTTAAAACATCTGATTTGTGTCAAGATCACGATGCCAGTTTCGCCTTGATGGTTTTACTAAGTGTGTATTTGTTTTTGATTATCTCCTGCAGGTCCTCATGGTGCGCTTCTCCTCTCTGTTCAACGTAAAAGAGAGGACCGTAACGTTCATCTCAGGCACCACTTACAGCCTGGAGGCCCTGAAAAGCATGGGCATGGGCAATCTGCTGGGAACCATGTTCGACTTCAGTGAAAAACTCAATGCATTAGAGCTCTCTGCAGAAGAACTGGGACTCTTCACTGCAGTCGTGCTGGTGTCTGCAGGTAGGTTGCATACTAGTGTTAAAGGGAAAGTTCACTCAAAAATTAAAACTGTGATCATTTACTCACCCTCATGTTGTTCCAAACCCATAAGACTTTGGTTGATGTTCGAAACACAAATTCAGATATTTTTAATGAAACCTCAGAGTTTTCTCTTCCTCCATTGAATGTAACCAAAACTTAGAAGATCCAAAAAAGTAATTGTAAAACTAATCCCTATGAATTGAGCAGTTTAATCCAAGTCTTTTGAAACAATATGATCGCTTTATATGATGATTTATGACCTTTTGGTTACCTGGAACTTCAATGGATGGACAGAAATCTCTCGGGTTTCATAAAAATGTCTTAATTTGTGAAGATCAACCAAAGCCTTATGGGTTTGAAACAACATGAGGGTTGATAAATGATGACAGAATTTTCATTTTTGAGTGAACTATACCTTTAAAGGGATAAATCAAATAATGTCATTCCAAACCTTCAAAAATATCTTATACCTTAGTTTGATCTACTAATTAATTCAATCTGTCATTGTTTGTTTCTGTTGCACAGACCGTTTTGGCATTGAAAACATGAATTCAGTGGAGATGCTTCAGGAAAGTTTAATCCGGGCTCTCCGAACCCTCGTCAGCAAGAACGCCCCTAATGACGCCTCCCGATTCACCAAGCTGCTGCTCAAACTTCCTGACCTGCGCACGCTGAATAACATGCACTCAGAGAAGCTGCTCTCTTTCCGCATTGACGCCTGAGGTTGCAAGAAGCTGGTGAAAGTGGGTCACTGAAAGACAGAACGGGCACAAACATTAGAACTCTTTTCCAAGAGAACCCACCAGAAAGCAAACGCATGCCTTTGGCACTTAAAAGCACTTGATGACACATTTAAAGGGACGCTTTGGTGTCTAATGGTCGGTCAGTAGCCTTTATGGCTTGATAACCATATAGGGCAGATTAAAGGGTCCTTGAGCCAATTTCAGTATTTACCTGAAATGGGTGGTAAGATTAAGCTAATAATAAAGCAGACAAAAACACTCACATTTGGACTGCATCTACACGGGGAACAAGTGCAAAATGCCTCTTGCAAGGAGTCACAGCCAGGCCAGAAGGATCTCCAGGCCACTTCCAGAGAGGGGACGACAGCACAAAACCGGCAAGCGTCTCCTCATACCCAGTCCGGCCTGGGTTCCTGCTATACCCACACTCAGAAAATTAAGATCATTGTAACTATAATGCAAGCTATGCGTGGTATGAACAGTCACACACATTCACATCCCTGTGACTTTGTAAAATATGTGTAAATATGATATACATACTTTAAATGTTTTAAAATGTATAATATATATTTTTTTTTGTAATGTTCACATGCTCAACACAGATGATAAATCTATTCAAGCACAGATATATAAGTAGAGTGTATGCATATTATAGAATATCAAGACATGTATTTCAGTTGTTTTCTTCATAAAGGCATTTTATGAAACAAGAATGTAATGTTTTATCTTTTTCAAGTAGATATCTGGAATAAATATCTCTATGTAATGTTTTTAACTTGCATCTTGAATAAATGTTGGTTTATCTGTGTACTGAACACGTTTATTACATAAAGTACTATATATAGTATACTAGGTATACTAAGAAGTTGCTTTTCAATGTCAAGAGAGCACTAGGCAAAATGTATCATCGCTGTCCTCAATAGTAAGGTTAAAGTGGGTCCTCTAGTGGGAGCTGATGTGTGTACCAAGTATGGAAGACAGGAAATTATGCCAATTCTTTTCCATAAGCTCTGCCATTAAACAGGACTGAGAATTAAACTAGTACTTCATGTTCAAAATTTTGGGATCAGTTCAATTTGATAATACTTTATTCAGCGCAAAAAAAAGAAATGAATAGAAAAGAATGTATATTGTAAAAATATTTCACTGCACAAACACACGTGTGTGTGTATATATATATATATATATATATATATATAAAAATTACCAACCCCAAGCATTTGAACGGTTATACATATATCAAGGAAAAAAAGTGGAGAAATATTGGAAATATTGAATACTGTAAATTTACATACGTGACATTAAATAATACTGAATCCTTAACACACAATAGAATCACTATACCTAACACAGGAAAGTTTTTGAAAAAGTTAAAATATTCAATAACAGTAAACACGAGTAATCAGAAAACATTGATCAAGTGAGGGAAAAAATACAATACCTACCCTCATTAATTATAAATCAACTCATTACACTGACTTGAGTAAATACTAGCAAGAAATAAACTGGCACTTTTTTTAAATGACAAAGCGATGTGAAATGAAAAAAGGAAAGTATGTTCAATCAGCTATGCAAAAAAAATACTGATTACAAGATACTACAAATTCTGTGTAAGATCTTTTTAAGGCTTTTATTACATACACAAAACCAGATTTTATTCAGGATAAACCAGAGGGACAAGAAAGCAATAGTTTACTGAGGTGATTACAAAGGACTCAAAGGGTCAAAAGTCATTATCTGATCTACAAAGGTGATTGTCTAAGCACATCACGTAGTCCAGGCCCTTTCTTATTGCAGGCACCAGAATAAACCAAGAATATGCCAGTGCTCGCCACACACATGGACCCAGAACTGGGTCATTGTGCCCTCATAATCACTTTCACAGCTCCCTATTGGCCAAATCCAGAGCAAACCTCACATCTTATTTGGCCAATGAGAGCAGCTCCTGTTGTGCAGCCCCTGACGGCTGATAAGTAGTTCAGAAAGTGGAGTCATGCTCTAAGTGCCAAGCGGAGTATGTCAGAACAACCACAGGAAGTAAAAAATGACTGTGAATTTGATCTCGTTTCATAACAAGCCCGGGGGTGGCCAGAAGCCAACGTGATAGCAGCTTTTCGTGTCTGAGATGGAAATATACAACACTTCAGAAGTGAACAATGATTCTACACAACTGTTGTGTAGTAAAAAAAAAAAAGGGGGATTAAATATGCAGGCAGCAGAAGAACAAACTTGAGTCTCCAGATATAGTCTAAATCGTTACCTAACCTGTTATGTCAGACCATAGCGGATGGAACAATATGCATGTGATGCTTTTCACAGGAAGTGCTGCCCTCTAGTGTGGAAAAACAAGAGCTGACTGTAAATCAGAGGGAAGTGAAAACCGGATGCCATTTAATACATTTTAGATTCATTTTATGTACCTTTTTGTTTTTTTAATAGACACAAACATGACGTTTAAACTACACTGCTGAGAGATGTCATGTGACCTGTATTTACTGAGGTGAACAATGCAGAGCTCTTTGCTACTTGAAAACATACAGTATGAGTCTTAAATTGAAAGGCTGATTTTTCCAATCCTTTGGCACCAGTGTTGGGGGTAACGCATTACAAGTAACGCTAGTTACGTAATCAGATTACTTTTTTCAAGTTCCCCAACACTGTTTGGCACGGGTTATTTATGCAAATAATAATTATAATAATAATAATAATGGCAGTCTGGGTTGGTTAGATAACGTCTGAAAATACTTTATGACTCACAATGCAGACACAAACATTCATTTATATGTAGCATCAACAATACAACTAGAACTGTACAATGCAAATGGATTATGTGTAATATAATAGACTCTGACACAGGCCATGACATTCACGATGAAGTCAAACCAGAAGATCAGGGCTGGAGTAAGTTTTGTGATGTCAGATGTTCAGATTGGAGGAGAGAAACTCAAGCCACTCTGTCAGAACAGGATGTTGCACCGGGGGCTGAAAACAGTGATGCATGAATGAACAAACTGAATTCAGAAATGGCAGAGAAAAACATTGCAAGGATCTGAGCTGGTAACATCATGGCCTCCTATAAGAGGGGATATACCAATGACTTGGCTTGGGAACATTTTCAGAAAATGCTGTGTCTCAATGCAGCATGATAGCCTCTCAGCTATGCTCACATCACATGCAAAAAGACCAATCTATTAAACGTGCATTAAAATGCAATTCATACATTCAATGACTTGAATGCAGCTCCTCTATGAGGAGCAAATTATGTATTAAAATTAATTTTGATATTTTTGGAGGAGCATTAAAAAGTTTTTAAAAATGATACAATTGTTCTGATATCGTAATAAAGCAATAAAAAAATAATAAAATACAACATCATTAAATGAATGAAATTCATAAAAAGAAAACATTAAATAGTTTAGCATAATTTTATACTACTATTTACTGGGGGTGGGGGGGGGGAACCTTTAAACCAAGGCAAGGTTACTTCAGAATGTAAAAATGTCAAGTGGGGCAAAAGTGTAAAAGTATAATGATATCTATGAATTAATAATTCCTGATATTTATTTAAAAAAATACTTTTTACCTTGAAAAAAATACACTTGAAAACTTGCACTTGAAATTATAAAAACTCACATGCATTAAATGTGTAAGGAAAATATGGTATTACTTTACACTTGATGGTGGTGATAAATTGAAACCTTTCTTGAAACTTTAAATGTTTTTCAAAAACATACCAAGTCAGCATGAACACAATGAGTACAATTTATAAGAATTTGGAATAACATTTATGAAGTTTGAATATGGCACAAATTTGGTGCAAAAATCAGCAACGACATGGATATTTGCATATTTTGATGCTTTGCGTCATGATTAGTAAATAAGAAATATGAATTAGTGAATTGTAATAAAACCTTTTCACTCTTCCTCACCTGTAGATCGGTGATATCAAGCAGCTTGCCGTCTTTTCTCACAGACAGGAGAGTAGCTCGGCCTTGTGATGGGTATCCCTCCTCAGCCCTCAGCTGACATACAGTGGTCGCAGTCTTGAGAAAGATCAGAAGCTTTTCAGCAGGACACCAATCTATCGCAAACCTGACGAAACAAGCGAAAAAATTTAAACGAGATACAGGAAGTAAATTTCTTCATAGTGTAAAGCCAGTTTCCCATTTCTTGCTTTATAGAACGTAATGTTGAGATCCAGTGTTGTTGACTTAAATTAAAACATTTCTCAGCAACTGAGATCCAATAAAACCATAAAAGACAGTGGTGAACGGGTTACTTTAATGAAATACATTATTGCAAGCTTGCATGGTGTAGTATTAAAAAGAATCAATGTAAGCTAATGTAGTAATGTAGCTTTTTAGCAATAAAAACTAAGCAATAAAAAAGACTATGTGGCTGACAACATTTCACAGATGAACCTTTTTCTTTATCAGTAACTTGTGATGAATCTGAACTTTACTGCCATAAAATATAGAAATGATAATAAGATTTATGAGAAACGTATGTACACATTTTAAGAAAATGTACCTGGAGTGCAGAGCCTGAATCTCAGACAGCATCTCTCCTTGACTTATGTACCGCTCCATCACCTCCACAAGGGCCGCGCTCACTTGCCTAAGACGCCCATTCACCGCCTCCTCTCCAAGACCAGCTGTTCCCTGAAACACCTGAAACGAAGGAAAAAGAGATATATTTACAATAATGTAATAAAAGAAAATGAAAACCAGAAAAGCTTTAAAAAAATATATAGTTCTAGAGGAATATTAGTTTTTTAAATATCAGCAGTATCAGTTTAATTCAAAAGTTTGTCAAAAATAGTTTTAGAGGTTCCACATGTTTTAAGTTTTGGTAGTGTAAATAGTGCTGAAGATAATGTTTTTTGCATTCTTGTCCTATTTAATACAGCATAACAAATTATAGTATCATCATAATGTGAGTGAAGTGTGTGTGTACAAAATATAGGCATGTTCAAAATATATGTTTTATAATTTAGAAGCACGTTTTTTCTTTGGCAATTCATCATTCACTTCATGTATCACAGATCTCAGCATCACTATAGGGAAAGATATGCTGAGACACAGTACCTGGAGATGGAATTCATCGCTGGTTGTCATGGTGATGGAGACACGCTGGGGTTCAAGTGATTTTTCGGCAGCACGAGGCAAGAGCTCAAGGCACAGCTCAGAGGAACTGACTGACAGCAGCCTGAACTGCATGTTTCTGTGAGTCACTGTGACCAAGGTCTGCAGCCTGAGAGACAAAGAAAATAAGAGGAAGAGAAGGGGAGCTTATTGTGTTATGAAAACATTTTGAATATTTGAAGAATCTTCACTGTAATCAGCAACCTAACACAGTCACTATGACAGTTAAAAATCTAAAGTATGCAGCTGTAAATTAGGGATTTATGCATCTCTCTCTCAAATTCAATATGGCATCTAACCTGACAAAGGTCTATTACTCCAGTCTTCAGTGTCACGTGATTCTTCAGAAATTATTCTAATATGCTGATTTGCCACTGAAGAAACATTTCTAATTATTTTTATTATCAATGTTCAAAACAGTTGTGCTGCTTAACATTTCTGTGGAAACTGGGATATTATTAAATTTTTTTTGGAGTCTTTGATGAACCCTGAAGTTCAAACAACAGCAAAAACAGTAGCAAAAAAAAAATAAAAAGACTGACATATACAGACTCACCCATCTCTTAATATTGTCCAGTCACTAATTCGAGCATGCTGTTTTTCAACCTCATCCTTGAACTTAGAAAGCCGCAAATCACACACATTCATAGCGCTTTGGGCTGCC